GCTTCGTGAAGTTCAAGGCTTCCTTCCTGCTCTCCCTATTTGAACTGCTAGACTGCTTCACCTGTCAGTACAATAGTCCAAAACCTGCAAAACAAAACATGGAAATGTGGAAGATCTGAGAGCTCTTATCGAAGGGGACAAGGGTAAGCACACAGCGTCTACTTGCACACTTTCCTCAAGCCACTGAAGCCTGCCACGGCACTCGGTGTGGCGAATGTGAACCGTGGTGTTCTATACTACTCTTTAGAGACCATACTACTGCTACTGGTCATGGGTCCAGGTCACGGTTTATCCCCTTGAAGATAGGGTGTGTTTTTATGGTGCAACCAGACAGAGACCTTCCCCAAAGCGGCAATGATTTTGCGCTTGTACTACAAACAAACATTTTTTCATCAGACGAGGAACTCCATATGGGTAGCTTATCCTGTTGCTCGGGCCATGTCAACCAACTGTCGGTAAACCGAGCCACTCACCAAATCTCGGTGAGTGGTTAATAACACTTGACTACTTTATTGTCGTGGCGCTTTTGCAGGACTAGGAGTGGCAAATACATACAATGTGTATTGAATTTTATTACCCGTGGGGAAATTGTTGAACGAAAATGTTCAGTGAAGGTAGGACATAGGAGGTTTCCATGCCCTTGAGTTCTTAATCAGAGTCTTCATCGCATGTTCTACATAAAGGGCCAGAGCAGGTGGTTGGGAAGTGGAATCAGGGAAAAAAGGATAGCGTGGCAAGTTCTAGTTAAGTTTCTGCAAGTGTGGGTGGTCACTGAAGACTATCTAGCAGTAGTCTTCAGGGATCGCCCATGGCCAGATACGGGGGTCGTATTTGGTCGTTGGAGAGGACGGGGCCGTATTTGATAAAGAACAAATATTCTGTTTTTTATTTTTCCCGTCACAAGCGTTCTTTACCGCTTACCGCCAGTACAAAGTCGGCGCTGCAGCAAAACTAAAACTGCTCTTTCTCTTAGTTAATCAAAAAGGTCTACTGCATTTGAAACTACATAGGAGTGCTACAAGGCAGCCTGTTAGGTAAAACTGCTCTCTCGGAGAGGGTTCAAGAAAAAAAGCAATGAAGAAGCTCACACCTTGCAGACAGACTGTGCATCCTAGGTAACCTATACATCACATTAGAATGCCGATAACTTATTCTATTACATTTCAGATCTCACAAAGTGTTCCCTTATGATTTTGTCAGGGGAAGGGCGTAAAAGGAAGTGGTTTGGTTTCCGTTTTAACGTGTACTCAGACGGAAACGCATGTTCCTTAAGTCCAAGAGAAGGATCAAGAGGGCTAAAAATTCTTAGCCATAGTGGACCCTGACTGCGTGTTCGTTTAGTTATGAGAATCAGAAAAATGGGGGAAAAGGAGAAAAATACACTCCAACACTGACCTTGAGGACATTTTGATTACACGACAGGCTTCACCTTATCTTGAAGGTCTTCAGAAACGAAGCATCTCAGGGAAATGAGAAAACTTGTGAGGTAAGTATGTGGGCACTAATGCAAAAGAGCCATTTCAGTGACCGCACGGTTTCATTTTTCTCTTTTTTCAGTTCTATTTGAGCCGACAAGCACTGGTTGTGGAAGGTCAAATAACGGCCAAAACGCAGCGGATCAGCGATCTCTATAAACTGGCGATATTTCCGGGTTTATCCACGTCAGATACTCGGTAAGGATTATGTTGCAACCGGGCAAAAATTCCTCTTTGAGGTGAGCGAAACAAAAAAAAATGGATAAATTTTCAACAAACGAGGTCAACAAAGAAGGCTGTGAAAGCAGTAGACAAAGATAAGAAATTTACGTGGTCTTAGTATGCCATTCTTTTTAGAAAAAAAACTACTGGCCTCTCACCAGAGAGAGTGATGTTTCATTCAAAAGGGCTGAGAATGCATGTTAACTCCATATCCCGGAAATGGGGAGGGCGTGGTAGTACTTCATTGGAGCATGGCGTAGAACGTGTTTTCAGAAAGATATTTTTCTTTGATACATTGTATATGGTACTGGACAAAACCGTAATACCATGATCTGTGACTGAGCTAAACTAAACGTGGTATTGTACCAAAAACGCACCCGGCCACACTCAAGTAAGGAAACCACGCCCTCCTCATGCCCAGGAAATGGATCTGGAAGAGCGAGCCCCGGCACAGAGTGGGGCAAACGCTGGAGACTAGGAAAAATAAGAAAGAAGTTGCTCTGAATGTCAGTAAGGGAAAGGCCGAAGAGCTGAACAGTGAAGAATGGTCAGGGTGCAACAGATCCAGTGTTGAGTTACTATTTCAAAGTTGCCTCGAAAAAGACGGCTTTTCTCAATAAACTCCTGATGCTGTTCGGCGTAGGAGGGGCAGTTGCACTTTCGCTCGTTCCTATTGCTAGTTCCTGTCAAACTAGATGTTCGCTTTGGCAAGGACCTGTGACTCTTGTCAAGTGCAAACCAAGCTCCTGCTCCTGTATAGCCTCATAAGAATTCCCAAGCCTCTACAGAAGCATCGACAGCGATCGAAGGGAACTAGCAAAATGTCCCCACCAAGCCGAATTGTGCCTGAACTCCCCCAAACTCTATTGCCGCCAACCATTCTGCACACTACTGTATAACCTTCAGGGAAACTTGCATCAAAGTTCACTGCTATATGGTAGCCTAATTCTTGGCCGCAAAAATTCACGCGCTCTACCAATTAGGGGATAACGGATTATTCTCACTACCGACGGCCTATAAAAGGTCACTACAGCCAGTTTAATCATCAGTTCTCTCCATTTTCACAGGTCCTTCAATAAGCTACTGCCTGGACGCAGATATCTAGCTCTCTAGTTCATACGGGAGTTATCAGCCGATCCTGTGTGCGTATTAGGAACCGCAACCAAGGCACGTGCTGTGGTTGAAGAGTATTCCAGTAGTATATTACCTCTCCCCCTCGAACTTCCTCTTCTGTACCCCTTTTCCCTAATTCCCCATCCTACTTACTATCTTACCAAAATCTCGTAACTTCGTACTTTTCCCGAACTTTTTTCAGAAGTCCTCCCTTTTTCCCCGAACAATGAATGACATTGAAAGACGGGATGGGGAGGGGTGGGGGACATAGCGCATTAGAATGAGGATGAACCGAGAAAAGTTAGCAATCAAAAGCATTCTTCTTCAAAGCAAATACGACCCCTCCCTCCAGCGACCAAACAACCCTCCTCGCTTGGAATCCCCAACGTACGAGATGCCCTGACGGCAAGTGCCACACATTTTCAATATTTGCCTATTCAAAAAATGATTTATAACAGGAGGACCCACTCTCTCCATCCATGAGTTTGGACCTATTTTTGGTAAGCTCAACTCAAACACTGTGGGCCACTATAGAGAACCCCAATCGTGCCGAAAATGAACCCTGGGCCTTGGAGCGGGAAATACGAACAGTACCGGCACCAGCACTAGAGAATTAACTGCTATCCTTACAGCATTTTTCTGTTTCGTATACTGTCAGGACACATTGGAACCCTTAACCTCCCGTTTCAGATGATGAACTATCACCTCCTAACCATCGCCGCCGTGGCCTTCTTGGGTATTCGCTCATCTGATGCTCAGACGCCGAAAGCCAAGTTCGACTCTAAAGTGAAATCTTTGGGTGTCAAATTTTACACAGTGACCGAGATTGGCAAGGTTTGTAAAGTCCCCTACTTTTCAATGATCCTATCGATCAATATCCACATTTTCTGTTTAGCTCACTGATTGCATCGATGACTCTTTCTATGATTTATGCACCATGACAAAAATTAAAGAAAGTGAGTGTCTCTACATTTCGCACGGTTGAAACGTTCTGAACGAGCGGAAAAATACCACTTTTCAGAAGCAATCTCATGTGTATTGGGTAACACTGCAGCTACAAAGTACATTACTCTGATGAACTTGCTAACGACAAGTGAGTTATTTGGACCATCTTACAAAAAAAAAACAAAAAAGAACGAAATATAATACATACAGGAGGAACATGAGGTGATGGTGGGGGGAGGAGGTGGGCAAAGGAAGGCACGCACTTCGCCAGCCTGCTGCAGCTGCTCGACTTCTAGGGATCGACCCATTCGCAGGGGGGGGGACACAGAAAGTCATTCCGTTAATTCATTGTGAGTAGCCTCGAACCTATTTAACGCGAAACTACGGGAACTTCCTCTGAGGATGTCTATAGAAATATTTATCACAGGGGTGGTAGAGTGTGCTGCGTATATCATTTAAGATAAGCTTAGGATGTGTTTTTTGTGAGCTCTTTACATTTGAAAAAAAAACTGTCACCCCGCCTTATACTGAGCCAAGTCGTAATCACATTCGTCCCATGACGGAAATATTCCACCAAAAGCGCAGCGGTTACTACGTTTAAATAAAATGCGAAGCCACGCCCTTTCCATCTGAACGATATGAAGTTTGAATGACAGGTTAACTCTCTGGTCGCAGAATACTTGTAAAATCAAACTGTTTCAGTGGACAAATGCCTCAAGCCAGAGGGCCAAACTACT